AACAGGGGAGGGGCTTAGCTGGGCCTGCCTTATATCTGACCACTGAGGAGTGAACACCTCTGAGATGCTGGGAGCACTTCAGGGTTGTGGTATCTTTCATACCAGCTGAAGCTGAACGCTCGCCAGTGCAGAGCACGTTTGGGTAAGAGCAATTTTATTTAAAATCTTTTTTTAGTTTGGTTGTGTAAAAATCAGTAGTGTCTTTGTTTTGGTTTTTCTAAAGAAAACAAACTTTTTCCTTGAGTTGCGTTTACATAAAACTGGAACCACGTTTAGAAAATTATTTTCTTCAGGGTGAGAAAGTGGAGAGTGCATTGGCAAAGTAAAACGAGAGGAAGCCGAACGTGTGTCTATCCTGTGCAGTTAGCCAACACCCTCAAACAAAAGGGAATGTGCACATTCCTCACTGATCACCTTTGACCGCCGCTGGTAAAATAAATGTGCCTGTATGTCACTAATGAGGCTTTCAACAAGTCTAAACACTGTGCTGACATCACCCTGGGATCTATTTACACAAGATTTTCCGCAGTTAAAGCTACAAAAACTGTTGTGCAACACCTGAATCAGTGGTACTGTATTGCCTCATTCATTCCTAGCCAGTAAGTTGTAATTTATTGCTGGGGTGGCATTAAAAATGCACCACAATGGCTGAAGTGCGCATAGGATGTAATTAGGCTTGTTGCTACAAGTGAGAGAAAGTTGTGAGCAATTTGCAGCTTAGTGTAAATCTTGAAACTGCTCTATTGATTCTCCACAAAGGCATACTAGGTTAGCTGTTTATCAATGTCAACATCTTGTCATCCAGACAGATCCTTGGCTCAGCCTAAAGATTTACAGTTAGAATTATCATAACTCATTCATGTCACATGTTTATATATTCCTTAGGAAGTATATAGTCCACTTTCTTACTGAACTGGTACTATTTTATATCAGTTGTTACTTGTGGTTTTTAAGACTTTCCTCATCTAAAATCAAAGTAAATAATTTAACTTAACAAGAAAATATACAAGTCAGAGCTCACAAAAGTGATTCTTTGTTATGGTACTACTGTATAGTCTAATACAGCGGTCCCCAACCCCCGGGCCTCGGACCGGTACCGGGCCGCGAGAGTTGAGGCTCAGGTGTGAAATGTATGGCTTTCAGGGTTTTTATCGGTTTTCAGCATTAGTTTGTTATCGTTTTTATTGTTAACTTGGTTTTCCTGGGTCTTTTCATGTGTGTTATGAATAAATCTTCTTTTTTTCGGTACCGGTACTAGTTTTATTTTGTTGTATTTATCCGCAAGACCTTAAAGGCTGGTCCGTGAAAATATTGTCGGGCATAAAGCGGTCCGTGGCGCAAAAAAGGTTGGGGACCGCTGGTCTAATGTAACCAAATGCTCTTTTGACTTTAGTTCTACATTAGTGAGGCCTCTAATCAGTTCTCCTTAACACCATCACACAGCTGTGAAGTCAATTATGTTTTTTAGCACTGCGGTTCCAGAGTTGTTTGCTGGACTCTGGTATGTTCAGGGGTGTGTCATGTATGCTGGTGCCAACAATAAAGCCCAGAAACACCTCTGCACACCAAGTCTGACTAAGATCAACTGTAACTAAGAGTACTAGATAATTCTATTTCCACATTTGCAACAGTGTCACTAAAAACGGAACTTTATGATTAAATACACACATGTGGCAGATCATACCTAATAAAGACACCTCTCAATATACACTCAGTTGTGCTTAGAGGTCTTATAAAGACAAAAAAGAAAGCAAAATCTTTTAAAAATTCATTTATTTTATATCTGCTCTTGCATTGAACGGACAGTGCCTTCCTTCACTGGGGAAAAGGCATTTAGTGGAGAGACCAGTAAACAGTGAAGCTGTGTTTGCAGAGTTAGGTAACTTGTTAACTTTGTGCAGGAAATGTATTTGCCTTCATGATATGACAAGCAAATGCAAATTCAGATGGTGCCATAAATGTACAGTAAATGCTTGACAGTTTCAAAAACATTCAAATATTTACAAAGTGGGTGACGGACTCAAGATGTAAATTGAGCACTTACAGGTAGAGATACCGAACTGCCACAGACCTGCTGCTCTTGTACAAATACAGAGTTCAGCAGACCTCAGATCCACAGCTGTTTGTGTTACTTTGCTTATCTTGGTTACTTGGAGCATCTTTTTGCCACATTATCAATAACAGCCGTTAAATACACTTCTCAGGTAGTGCAGCTCACACAGCCTAAACCAAACATTTTACCACAGTAAACAAGTGAAAATAATCACATACACAGTGGAGCTTTATCTGTGACTTAACAGTTAACATGTTTCTGAGTAGATTGGCTGAGTTTCTGTTCACACCCTTTTTTCTGAGCCTTATTGTCTTGACTCCCACAGGTGTTATGACATCATTTGTGACAGTTACCAACCCCCACAGGGCTGAAAGACTGGTTCTCAGAAAATTGTGAAATCACTACATTTTTGTATGCAATAGTAATTACTAGCTATGACAATAATTAACTGAGATTTTTTTTGAAAATCTCTTTGTAAAGCTTTTTCAGTACAGTAACATCTCATGTACCACATAAGAATATGCTTAAAGGTTATACATTTGCTTTTATTATTCCCTGTTTTTCAGTTTAGTACCCTAAGTACAAGTAGATGTGCATAAATTTGGGTTATGTTGTAGAATTTGTAAACAAGCTCTTTATAAGTTCTTTAAATGGGGATTTAAATGGGGTTCTTTAAATTTAAAAGGGATTAATAAAATTTTATCTAATCTAATCTCTAATCTAAATAATACTGGACCGGAATGCAAATCGATTCAGTTTTTTAAAACATTTATATATTATTTTACCTTGAAGCTGATATTTTTATGCCATGGTGACTTTAGCTCTTTTGTGA